GATTCCATGTCTCGCCTACTCGAGTACGGCAGCCGAGCCAGTTCAGCGATATTGAAACTTAATGATCCATCCTCAATAGTTACGTGACTGAAAAAATATTATTACTCTACATTCAGCCTAAAAGCGATAAAGATTATCATTGTGAAGACGTCGAGATTGGAAATAGCTTGTTATCAATAAGTACGCGCGGTTACATTTTATGAGTTTATTCCTATGTAAATGAACGGAGCCTTACTACGATTTACTTGTTGTCGCATTTCGCAACTTAAAATAAAAAGCTTTAGGATATCAATTTGGAACCCACACGAAATTATCTATTATAAACGTGAAAGAGAATTCTAACGTTAAACCCTTAATAACCACTAACACACGTTTAAAGAAAAGTTATCTGAATTTAATTAGAACCTGCAAAACACCCGCGGTCTGTACGGTCGTTTTGTGAAATTGAAAAGAAAAGTTTTGCCAACTGAGCTTGGCGGGTTGGGGAACGTGGCGTAGTTGAGCCGGCTACTCGCCTCTGTCCGACGCCTGCGCTGGCCTTAACGACAGCTTGTTGCTAGGAACCTTATTCTCAAGCCAAGACCGCACAACTTTGCTCACTTCATAAACGGAAACTTTGCACCAATCGGTAAAGAACCCGCCATTCAGAAATGATTTGGTTTTATTACATTTTTCACAGAAGAGTCTGGGTTAGCGGTAGCATCTCAATTTCAAAGTTCAACTTCAATATGAACTCTTAAATTAAAATTGTTTTTAGTATATTTTGTCCAATTTCTCTATGTAGGATAGTAGACTTCAATAACGATAGGGAATCGTTATTGAAGTAAATATTTATAATGTAACGTATTGTTTGCATGTATTACAGAATTTTATGATTGTTATTACTGTGTTACTATTAAAAGTGCCTTATCTTCAAAATAATTATTATCAAGTAGTTGTTTCTAGATTAAAACGTGTTCCTCATTTTATTCAATTTATATCGTTGTTTTTTGTGGTTTGCCTTTCACTATTTGTTTCAAAATATTGCAATATCATGCTTTCAAAGTTAATCTTATGAATCTTCTTAAAATATTTCCAGATTTGCGATTTGGATTGTTATTTAATATTTACTTACTAGGTGTATATTTACTTAATCTTAGATGATATAATAGGTATACTACATATATGTGATAGAATTTCTTCTTATTTTCTGTATTAAAAATAAATTATTTCTATTAACAACATAACATAACATCATGACTTTTATCCCCGAAGGGGTAGGCAGAGGTGCACATTACGGCACTTAATGCCACTGTATAATGTAACACCCACTTTCCACTATTTTTGTTATGAGTCCCATGTAATAAGGGGTGAGTCTGTTGCCCTATACCGGGCACATTTCCAGACTTCGTGCTACTACTTAGATTTTTAAAAACCCACTAATATTTTGCCCGACCCGGAAATCGAACCCGAGGCCCCTTGCCCGGCAGTCGCACTTGCGACCATTCAGCCAATGAGGCAGTCCAGTTTCCATTACCAAGAGACTATTTAATACTCTCTCATGAACTGATTTACCTCTAGTTTTAATACTTTAAAACGAGAATTAATTACGACATTTGAGGCATCAATAAGGCGTCCACCATCACATAGAAAATTTATAGAAATTCTCGAATATTCTTTTGAATGTTGAATAGCGTTATGAATTATTTATATAGGTAGGTCTACATTTGTTAGGGAAATAGACTATGGGATGATGTATGCCTACCTAATTATATAAAATACCTAAATAACTTCAGTAAATACAATACCAATATAGACAATGTTTCCAGTTTGTTAACAAGGATAATATAATTATATTTATAAGTATAGATGTTGTTTGCTAGATTTATTAGGTTTTTATGACTTACCATTTTTTTTATTGATGACTAGGTGTAACCTTCAAAAGGCGCTTAGCTTTTTGAGAATAAAAGACTAGGCAGTCTAGGATTTTTACCTCACTAAAACCACCCCGGTGACCACCCTCAAAACCTGCAAGGAGGCACCGGGTCCTCTAAAAGAGAACTGCTCCGAAAAGAAAAATTTGGACCGAGGTTTGAACTCGAATGTCTTGCATAGAAGGCGTCCGCTTTCCCTACTGAGCTATTTGAACTCTGTGACACTTAAAGCGCTTACTTAAAGTAATCTACAACAGTTTGACATAATTTTTGCATTCTAAATACATACAAAAGTAGTCGTGAAACATTAAAAATAAGGTCTATTAATACAGGTGAGTGAGAGAACATACCGGTGTCCTCTTGGCTTCAATTTTGCTCGTACTACACATTCGAAATTACCCAAAATACCAAAGCGAGTCTGCGTACCACAACGAGAAGAAATGCGAATTTGTAACTAATTAAATAATTATCTATATTTTATTATTTTGTAAATAGAGTTAGTACTTTTGCGGTGCCCAGATGGGCTTATAGTTGGAACAGATATCAAAATACTGTAAACCACCATGTACACACTACAGATGCATTATACAGTAACATGACAAAATATTTAATATTCTCAAACAACACTGCTGAAATCAGAACACGAACCTCATAATATAATTAATAAAAAAATATTTCTATTCACAATACGTGCACCACTACCTCAACTAAGAATAATATTATGTTATAAGTAATTTAAAAGTATTCTATTAAATTATAATAGTATAGGTAAATTTTACGGTAATATTTAATCAATTTCATTTATATATATATTCTAATTTAGGATCTGAATTACCAAATATTTGATATGAAATTACGTCATCATCTTTATTCATGTCCCTGGGACGGACTTCAGTTTTCCGGTGTTTCATGGTTGTATCTACTGTAGATCCTGGCTTACAGGAGTTGCGGCGGTTTTGGGAGGTTGGAGTATTTTCCCAACAAAAAAAAATGCCGTCATCATCATTATTCAATAAGTTGAAACTGCTGACCGAAAGCCTCACATGGAGAAGGTTTAAGCATTAATCACCACGATTGCTCAATGCGGGTTGGCATTTTCAAGCTTAGGCATAATAAGAAATTATAAGCCCAGGTTTCCTGACGATGTTTTCCTTCACCGTTTGTCAGTGGCGGCCAAATAATCTTAGAAAGTACACATAACTCGGAAAAATGTCATATTGGTAGATACTTGGTATGGTAGGATGCGAACCCATGCATGAGAAGCGGGTGTCTTAAATCTCCGGGCCACCACGAGGTATACACACGTGCATTCCTAGCAAAATAACATTGAAACATAGATTGAATCGTTCGATCTAACCTTAGCGAGTCGCAATCGAAATAATGGGATTACTGGCATCGTAATAGAGGGGCCACTGGCATATATATTGCAAGTGTACACAAGACCGCAATACCGCGGTGTAATGATAGAATGTCCCCGGGCTGTGCACGTGATGCGACTGCCAACACTGCCGACCTCACCGCAACCCTGCTAACAGCAACATCTACTGTTCTGTCACATCTCTATAACATACATATTGATAACTAAGTTACTATTACTTTTACCGTCAATCTACTGTATGATGTGCCAAATATGGATTACTCCAATCACTTTTACTGATTAGTCATTTTACTGATTTTTTTAAAAAAACCTGGCCCCACTCTCTGACTGTTTCTTGTATCGTGTAATATATAAGTTCACATACACATGACACCCAGACCCGGAACAACAATCTGTAAATCACATAAACAGTTGTTCCGTGCGGGAATCGAACCCGCGACACGTTGCGCGGCAGCCAGTTGTCCAATCACCGCGCCAACCGTGCAGTTAAAATAAAAGTCAATTTAAAATTGAGTAACACATTCCTCCTTATTTTTCTTTAGTAGATATAAAAAATATCACTTCCTCAATCTGCTACAAGAACACAGTGTAGCCGTAGGTAAACTTTATGTAAATTGCACTTAGAAAGTTCTTTACACACTTAGATACTAAGTTACTTTAATTACACTTCTTTTGGTAGAAACAGCTTATCAAAGTCATTGGCTGTAACAGGACCTACATACAAACATTTACAAGGCTCATATAGACCCGGGCGTTTCGCATCACGTCAGAGAAACGCTATAACGAACTTTTCCCGGCCGAAAGCCGACAACTTCTATAAATAATTGAACAGCCAACTTCGCTGGCGACTTCAGATGATAGTCTCGGCACTATATTATCGAAGAGGAATCGTTTAAGTGTTCCTGAATATTTGTCTGCTTCACAGGAGTTTCGTTAGATTTACATATCTGTATTTATAGCTGTATAAATTATAAAAATTACAAGTAGTACTTATCTGGTTAGCTATGCATAGCATACATCTATGTATATAGTTTGTTTCTAAGGTACAGTTAATAAAAAGAAATCACAAAAACATTGCCAATCTTTTCGGGTCAATTTTAGAATTCACAATATCATTTAGTTTGTAGTCAGCAACAATAAATTTTTATCAATCGAGGTATTCGTATACTGATATTTTATGTCACTCCTACACGTTTGATCAACAAATAAACCACATTTTTGGATAGTCCCCATGTGAAGGATAAACAGAACAAGGAAAATATCAAGCAGCTATAGATATTAACATCCCAAAAAACTTCAAAAGGAAAACTTGCGTGTTTTCACCATTGGTATTCTCGAAAACTTGAGCAGTTTCCTTTATCAGCCTCCTTTGTAGATCCTTCGGAATGAGCTATTAAATAAATAGCTAGTGGCCCTTACCGCACCGAATAAAAGAACACGACCTTCCCTCTATCGCCAACAATGTTCGCAATTGAAAAATAAATCGAGCTCCCTTCGAATATATTTGTTCAGATATTTTGACTGAGACCCTCGTCACATCCTTTGTATTCTACCTATAAACATATTCCCTATCCAATTTATCCAACCAAACCACGTCAGGTAAAAATAAAACACAAAATATTCATTTCACATATTGTTTATTTTAAAAGTTTTACGAAGTATTTGGTAACTCAAAGTATCACAAAATGAAAATCACAATAAATTAAAAATAAACATTTCAAAAAACAATAAAAATAATAACAAAATTGAATACACATCAATATCAAAAGTATAGGATTCAAGCTCGATGGGAATGTATTATGTAATTCCTATTTATGTACTTGTATAGTATTGTTTAAATAGTTATGTACTTTGGTATAAATACTGGAGAAGAAGCTCTGGTTGTATGTAGCGTGATGGTCGAGCGTTATCACAGTGTTCGGCGATTAATACAGCGTGGTACGTGAACTACTATAATTAATGCAAATTTTACTTACAAAAGTAATTTCTTACTACACAATATTTGGTATTTGTTCACTATGGATATATTTATGCCTAAACGTTAATCACATTGACTAGTTCAACTACTTTTGTAAGTAAAATTATCAGCGTGAAAACTTATTCGAAAACATTACAAAGTTACACATTATGCTATTATCCCGTACATTGTAATACTGAATATCATAAGACAATAAAATATTTCATTAGTTATTATTATTAAAACTCAGTCTATTTGCTTTCACAAATTCATTTAAAAGTTTTTTGATATGCGACTTTGTACAAAATGATATTTGTGTCCGCACAAACTTTGGGTTCGTTTTAATGTAGGCGTGAACATACGCCCCTTGTAAACGTTGTTGTGGTTAAAGCTAGTAACACACTGTACGCGTGTTCCTATTGTTGGCTCACTCTCAAATTCCAATGATTGATAGATTAATGAACTATCGACTTGGTCCTCGCCAATTCACGATTATCTAAATTGGTTATATTTGAACCCAATTTTTATCTAAATTCTAGAGAATTTCACTAGTCTAAAGAATCCTCTATCAATATGCGAATAATCCAGCATTTTTCGAATATCACATTACTAATATCAGATCATATTGAAATTCTAGACTGACTATATAAAGTTGGTTTTACTACAATCAATAATACAGTTTCCATATTGGATCTAGATATACATGATGCTGCTTTATGAATTTCTAAAACATTTTCTTTTATTGTTTTCTTCAACTACCGAAAAGGTCACGACATTTTAACCAATTTTCTATTCAAGTAGATAGTAATACAATTGGGTACACGAAAGGAGGATTGAAGATGAGGACAGTGGGATTTACATCTCACAAAAGAACGATGCTCTAACCAAAATAACATTTAGGATACATTTAGAGCCTTGTCATACAAGCGGTGTCTGAGGACTGGCGAGAGGACTGACGACGGTTTATGTAGGTACCTAATGTCGGCAGCCGTACATACATTTAGTTTAAGCTACGTTCAAAATGGGATCTTCTCGGCGAAAATCGGATAACATTGCATAATTTCTTGAGATAGAACGTAGGAGCGCTAGAGTTATAGGTGGCCATTTCGTTCGAGTTTCTGTCCTAGGTACTATTGAGTCGCTCAGCTTTCCAAGACTGTTGAATTGAGAAAGCTCCTCATATAATTGACGTAAGGTTGTGTTTACACTGGTGCCTTGGTGCAGGCGTTGATGTCTCCGATGCTCTTGACCCGTCGGTGTCGTTTCTGCTTAACCAGCGCGTCATCTGCTGACTTGGCTGGGAGAGGCGAGCTAACGCGATGAGCTTGGTCCGCTTTCTGTCCGTACCTTTAGAAACAAAATATTGCCATTAAAATCTAAGTTTTACTTCGGCAGCTCAGTAGCATTATTATCCACCTACTTAAGTTTATATCAAGTTTCTTAGTGGGTACTTAATATTATAACTATTGAAGAGTGGGTGTACTAAGTCCCACCTTCCAGTGGCTTCGAAGAAAAACAATAGTTTAAAGTTACGCCCGTTGTGTAGGCGAGTGTAATGTTCTAACATCAGTAGATTTATTAAAGTAAATTCTAATACTTTATTTATAAAAGAGATAACAAAAATTTATCGGAAGATAGTGAAAAACATAGGACGAAAACTACAAACTACAGACTTTTAAGTTGACATACCTAAAAAACTGCACAGAGAAAATTATGCCACAAATGAAAGTAAATTACGTACGTTGTCTCCCACTTTTTTGAACGTAATTAGGTCATCCAATTCATCATGGCTTTAAAAACATAAGCTGTGTTAAAAAATAAAAGCACCGGGAAACAGCCTTTCATTCCCCGTGATTTCGTACTTACAAACTTTTACATGGGTTGGACTGCTATACAATTTAATTTTGTGAAAAGCCCTTTACAAATACAAAAAGAAACTTTAATAATATAAAAGCTGAATTCTGTTGGGATTGCAAAAAATAATAAAAATAGAATTTAAATAAGAATGGCCATTCGCTAACCATTGTTGATCTTACCGTCAATGCGGACCAAATTAAACAGAGAATTAATTTTATTATTTGCTGAGGTGTTGTAATTTTTCGTCTCTCATAATATCAAACAGTTAAAACGAGTTTGTTGCGCAGTTATCGTAAGTATTGGGGTTTTCAACATCACTATTGACCTATATATTATTATCCGATAGGTTTATCGCCATTTTTGTGATATATTACTTCCATTACATAATATAAATGTGTGGGAACGACTATTTCGGAGAAAAGTTGTAGTTACATCGTTATAGAGGTATATATATTTGGAGATCAACTTACCTATGAGTAATACTAGAATTTTCCTTGATATCATTCAGTCTGGTGAGGCTATCTCTGGTCGACACACTGGACTGTGAGTACAGGCTGAGTGGTGTGTATATTGGTTCGTACTCCTGCAACGTTGGAGGTGGCGCGTACGTCATGCTGAGCTGTGATAGTGTCCGCACAGCTATCGGTGGCGAGTATGAGATCTGGTAGGGCTGCGTCAAGCTCAACACACTCGAACTTTCACTAGAGCTCGACGGGGAAGTTCGCTCGTGCTTCGGTTTCAACACCCCTAAAGCTCGGGTTATTGAACCCTGGAAATAATTTTGTTATTATCGTTGTTATCCATGATATTGATATAATTTTGTGTGTTCTCAATATTCCGTAACTTACCCTCAAACTATGTCTCCTGGAATCCCCACTGAGGTCTATGCCTGGTAAGCCAGTAGCAACCGACCTCGAGAACGGTCTACCCAACATCCTGATTTGGTGACCAAACAAGTTTCTGAAAACCAATTACAATTTGATTTCACTACACCACGGAAGTAGTACAAATTTGAGATCACATAGAAGCCAGGCAGAGCGTAGTTTGCGTTACTTATGGTCGCTTTAATCTCTCAAATTTGCACTTATTTGTGTTTAATATTCGCTAACACAAAAAGCTCACATGCAAATTCTCTTTAATTTTATTTTACAGTCGCAATGTTGGACCTCACTGCTTTTATCCTAGCAGACAAATAAACGCAAACATTTTCATATCCACAGACTTATTTCACTGGAAGCTACAAGAGACAGTTAATAAAAAGTGAATATTAATTTAATTATATTTGCATAGACATCAAAAGCATGATGCACTTTGCTGTAATGATACGAATCATGCTGATTGTGTACGAATAAGGATATAAATAAAAATATAAACACGAGTAGTATTAATGGATTGTATGACAACGAATAGTACTGAGCCCCATTATAAATACTGGAATTTAGAAGAACATGTCTTAAATAAACACATTGAAAGTATACAGTACTCTTCCTTGTACGCTTGAATCAAAAGAACAACAACAATATAATCAAAATGTCGTAACTAAATCCATCAAGCACGAAATGTCAACGTGTTCAAATGGAAATATTGAATTAAAAACAAAACGTAACGTTACGAGGAAGGAGAAAATGTGGACAGAGTCTGATTATTATGTAGTGCGGACTAATGATGATGACAGAGAGGCATTCATGATGTATCGATAAAATGATCGTTACCGTTCTGTCTCGATGCAAGGATCGCCGAGTTAGGGTGTGATGGATAATAAAAAGAAACTGACTCGATGTCCCTTAGGTTATCTTTTTCATCAGGATTTATTCACATTTATAGTTCAATTGATATCGTTACAGGTGAACCTAATATACAATGTTGTCAACTTTACAGTATGAATGTATACAAGTCAAAAACATAGTTATCTTACAGTATTAGTAAATGCTATTATTGTTATAATCCTAAAGCTATGGTGATGGTTCCGTTTTTACACCTATGAATATTCAATTGTAAAGGTTTTAAAATCCACGACATTATTACAATTATTTGAAAACTGTTATTAAATTGAAAGAAATCCTCATTAGTAAGTTTAGTGAATGCAGGTAATGGGATATGAGTTACCCCCTATGGATAATACGAAGCATTTCATGCTTATATCTTTATAATACCAACTAAGTTGTATACATTTACTAGTTTACGAAATTGATCAATATCCATAATTAACATTAACGTGACGAATCTAATCTACGGCAAGATCGGGACTCTAGGGGGTCACAATGTCCAACATTGAATCTAACACTGACGAAGGCGAAGGTACAAAACAAAATCACTGTGAACGTGTCCGATCGCTCCAACTTTTTGATAACCTTTACTTACAAACCACGATCCCTACGATAACTTATCAGTCTTCACCGCTCGTAAAGTTTTCCATCAAAAAAGTTTCAAAAAACGAGCAAGTTTGACGGTAGGTAGATACAAAATTTCTTTCGCAAAGAAAATATTTTGTGTAAAAATAGCGAATTTACAAACATTTCGATACAGGAAATTTTACATAGATACAGGTTTGGGCACCGAAGCAATAATTTATTTTTTAAATGAGAGTTTTTTGATTTTCGTTGGTTTATCTTTGTTTTGTGGACAACATGGATGCTCGGGCAGCCTCCACTTGCAGTTCTTCCACCTGGCAAAATATCGTATACCTGCAGGATTGCACCTTACATTATAATCAACTACAGATGCTCACGTACGGGGGACTCGCTGGCCAGTGCCACTGTGTACTAGCTCTCTACTCAGTAGGTACTCAATTACTCATACAAGTGGTTGCATGCAGAGTGCGTCTCACCACAACATCATTGCACTCGGTCTCCACTCACATACTTCATAGTATCACAATGCGTTATGGGACAAACATTCTAAGATTTTCTTTATGATACTGTGCTTATTATCACCAACAAACTGCTAAATATATCAATCAAGAATAATATTTCATTCATATCATGTAATACAATAAGAAAATATAACATTCACCGAGACACGTATAAGTACAATTGATGAGAAACATATTGACTGATAAGTTGATCGATGTGATAGAGCTCTATATAAATATTTACCAAATTGGTGTCTGAAGTAAATATTATATTTTCTTGTTCTGACATATAAATGAGTGAGTGCTTGACTCACCTCGCTGGTATGACGAGAGCGTCAAATTCGGCTACCAAATGTCTTCTAATAATGCTCTTTGATGGAGGAATGCCGAGCGCGGTCGCCATTGTTTCTCCGGTGAACGAGGGCTCAAGTACCACGAGCCCACCGTGCACTCCACTGTCTGTTGTCATAAGATTATCAGCTACGTGATCAACTGTCCTGGTACGGATAACATTAGCAAATACACTACGAGCAACTTACCTTTGAGATTATCCGCAAATTCACCTAAATCAATATTATGAGCCCATCGCATAAACCTCTGATTGGTCCAAACTAAGGGGTCGGCGTCGACGTTCTCGCATTGGTGCCGCCTGACAGCGAGCGCCTACAACAAACAAAGATTTTGTAAAAACTTAACGATGATTGATCAGCGCGGGTAATTTATAGCGCTGGAAATAAGAAGAGAAATAATAAACGTGATGTAACAGGTTTTTAGCTAACTGTCGACCAAGCAGGAGCGGAGTGCACGATGATTAATGGGTGTACATTACGGGGGCACGGCAATGCGAGACGGAACATTCTGTTCCAGCTCATTGGATAATCGCTCATTTGCTTTCCGTTATCTCACCCCACTTATCGGAAGGGACGTGGAAAGGTTTTCTCATTTCGAGCCACGCAATTTGTAAATGAGATGAAGAGTGTAATTTATTTCATTGTCATCTTTAATCTATCTTCATTCCTTTTATTTATATTATCAGCGATAACACTTCTTCCGTTTCAGACAGAGTACAATTTGAAGGGTTGATTATTTCTTTTGAAAATTGAAAATCGATTTAGGACTTACCTGTCGATCGTACTTCATTATTCTAAGCAAATGGATGCCATGTACGATAGAGGCCTGGTGGAACTTCCTGGTCACTCCGAGATATTTCTCCAGTTCCTTCTTGCTGATGGTGTCGAGCATGCGAGCATCTACTAGATTTGCCAGGAATGACTCGGCGTACTGTTGGGTAACATTTTTTTTTCGGTGTTTTATTATATTTATAGAACAAGATATTATGGACTTCATGGCAATATTTGTGCAAACACCGCAATATTCGAATACCTGTGATAATCCCAAATCTGGCAACCACTCGGCGGCGACCCAGGCGTGCGTCAGCTGTCCTATACTTGGGTTCCGGACAAGGTCTGGTCTCCTCCGCTCTTCGATGGCAAGTCTCAGCTTCTTGCGGTGCATTGGCTGCGAGATGCCCAGCCCCACCTCCAGGTCCGCGTCAGACAGCTCGAGCAGAACCTGCCCATTCAAAGCACGGATCTAGAACCAACCAGAACACAATATTTGACGCTTAATGCGCGTCTCTCGCTCTACTACATACACTCCTACCAAATGATGATGACGCTTATGAATTTGCGAACGAGTCACGACATAAATAACTTTTGATGTTTGTTCGTGATATTCGTTTCGTGTCTTTCTTTGAAATGCCTATTGGAAAGTCTGATATCAACATATAAATAAGCAAATTCTGCTATGAATTTATCTGAGGGTGGTATATCGGGCCCTGATTTCCATACAGATGTAATAAAATGAGCGCATTCCGAGTAATGAATGGGCCCGTAGGTATGTTATGAAAATGCTTTTTTTATTCCATTCATTACATGTGAAAATATAATCCGTTGTTACATCCGAGAGTTATGACCGGCCGAAATGTAAACATTGATTTTAGCTTTTGAGTTGAAAGTAACCATTATGTAGGTGTATAGCTAATTTTGTCCACATTTTAACAATACCAATTGGAGGCATTCAATTTGTTAAAATATTTAAATTTTTAAATGTCAGTGGTTTTCTAACTTGTTAAATGGAGTACTTAATAGTTAATACGATTTGTGCTAATACTGTTTGAAGCCTCATACGGTTAAACGCAACAGAGCATAAGTAACCTCGTTTCACTAACAACATTCTACGAACACTAGGTTTTATTATAGCATTCTAGTTACTTCAGCGTTCTACGTAGGTATGTTCATATTTACTTAAATATAATATCTGCCAAAGTATTCTATAAACATATCCTAACTATCATACGTTTGGAATTATAAAGGAATAGAAGATAAAATTATCCCTGATCCAAAAATTAAGCTAAGCGACCTAAAATAATAACGAGGGGTAACGGGCTATTTGGTTTAAGCGACATTTTGGGCGATATTGAGTTATATATATATTCGGAATCAGCGAATTTTTCTCCGTCGATTGATGCCGGTTTCATTAAAATCGGAGCACTTTTTTGGCGTTTCAAACAATTCTATTTTCGTGTTGTTTCCAAAGTGACAGTGTATTAAACGACATGGATTTCGCATTTTTTATTAAATTATGTACTTGAACCATACCATCATATTAATAACCGAGACATAAACCAGTCACCCTATCTCTAATTAATAAGTCAAAATGAGTTAAAGCGTTTTTCCTGTTTCTAATTTTTACTAGCAAGTAACTTGAATCATTTTGACTTCCCACTAATCACACGGTGTGTTGTCGCTTAAAACATTTATCCGTCACCCAAATACGACATGGTTCGTCTCTTAAACACTTCTAGCTGCTTTTATTTTCCACGCAGGGTGCTACTTAAACCAAATAGTCGTTTTCGTTCAGATATTTTGTTTAGTCATAAATCATTTAGCCCTCCTTTTTTTTAAAATGCATGTCGTTTTATACAGATGATAACATTAATAATGGATATTGAAACATTTTGCCAGTATTCATAAAAATATGAATCGGTCTTTAAATCACTAAATTTTAATATGGTACATTTCAATCATGTCATATGATACTATATTTATTTCATCGCCCGGGTGTTAAAAATCGTGATCATCCAACTGGACTATCGTGCGCTGGCGCTTCAGTCACTCCAGAATGCGTCGAAGACAGACGGGACGCGCACTCACCGCCAGTGTTTACGTAAAACGCTCATCGAAATTGAATCCTAAGTACTTTAATTTCAAGATCAACCTCGCGGTCGTCCGAAGACTTTGGTGACAATAGGCTATTGTGGAAGCTGATGACATACAATCTACGGCTGATTTAGCAACAGCTTTCGACGTTAGCATCAAAACAATATTGGTCCATTTACGTCAAATTGGCAAGGTAAAAAAACTTGACAAGTGGGTGTCCCACAAACTCAATGATCGCCAGAGCTAAGTATGCATCGAGCAGTGCCTTGCACTGCTCAACATAGTTGTAGTAGTAGTTAGTTCAGCACCTAAACAATACCCGAAACGAAAACTTACTCCTAGAAAAGTGATGGTCACTGATGGTCTAGCGCCAGTCTGATTCATCACAGGTTCTTACCAAACGGAGTGAGCATTACTGCGGATGTGTAATGTGAAGAACTGAACACAATGATGGAGAAGCTGACACATCTCCAACCAGCACTGGTCAATCGCTCATCTCCATTGCTCCTGCATTACAACGCGCGACCTAAAGCTGCACAACAGATGGTCTCCAAGTTACAAGAACTGGGGTTGGAAGCTCTCCAATATCCACCCTACTCACCAGACTACTTCTTTTCCAGAATTTGAATAACTTCTTCGCGGGAAAAAAATTCATTACCCGAGAGGCAGTACAAAATGCATTTAAAGAATTTGTTGCCACCCGTCCAGCTGATTTGTTTAAGAAGTATTTTGTGGCAGTTTATTGATGCCCAATAAACTGCCACTGCGTTGGCAACGATGCATTGATTACATGGGTGATTACTTCGATAAATACAAATAAAAAATACATGAAAAAAATCGTTTAAATTTTTTCATACAAAACGGCAATTTCAGTAAATAACCCATTAATTTATCTGATTTTGCTGAATAAATAATAATATAATCGTTGTTCCTATGCAGACTGTTATTATTAATCTAAATAAATACTTTGATATTGTGTTGTGTTTATTTATCCGATGTAAGCACCTGAGATTTTCGGTTGTTTCGATATATCCAGGTTGTTTTATCAGCCATTAATCGTCTTAGATGTAAATAAACATAAACATTTAACGATACAATTTCAATGTTATATGTCACATAAGTAAATTAGCCTGTTACTCATTTTAGTCTAAATTGGTAGTTGAGATAAATAGCTTGCTTCTATTTATTTTGGGTTTCGTTACTTCATACTTTTTGGCTTACTCTGTAAATAGAGTGCATCGTCGCTTAATTTTTTTCCCTTGTAGCCAATTGTAGTTATGAAGTCACTTAAATCATTTTTCCTGACTCTAAAAAAGGGCAGATTGTATTAAGCGACATTTATCTTTGTAATTAAAGGTCCGCTTTATTTGGAATTAGCATCAGCAACTAGATATTTTTATTTAAATTTCAATGCAATTTACCCCGTTCAAATATCTGCAGAAGCGTTTTTGTTATGAATTTTTTTTCGAAATTTCAAACTTTAAAAGGCTCTCCTGTAAAGTTGCAAAAATGTCGCTTAAACCAAATAGCCCGTTACCCCTCGATAAATAAACTGGCTTTTATCGGTAAAAACAAAAGCATTGTGTTTACGAATTGATGAACATACTGAGCTGGTACGGAAGTCAGCTGTGATATTTGAAAACAATATAGTGGGGGGAACTTCGGTGACACGTACTACGTGTGATGAATAATGCATTAGTGCTGTCACTGGCGATTTTAATGTCGGCGACATAGTTCAAGTACAAGTGCTTAATAACAATAGGGGTGCTGAAATGTGACGTCAAGAGCTCGTGTTGGTTTGAAGCGTAAACATTCATTGTGAAACTTAGTATCCTGTAATGACACTACATATAAGTTTCAGAAAAATGACATTGCTATTCATAAAGTCTAGGTTTAATTGAATCGCAAAAATATAACCTAACGTTCCTATACTACTAGATACCGTACCTTATTTCATTCTGAAATCATTTTATTCACTTAATATTTAATTTGTACGAGGCAATATAGCCATGCAGTGAATGCAGTGGGAAAAAACAAAGTCAGTTTTATTTAGTACGAACCTTTCCGCTCTTGACATTATCAGCAACTGCAGCAGCATACTGTGGCATTCCAAGCGCTAGTTCCAGCCACGCAATAATGGCGGGCGCGCGCCATCTTGAAAGTGGCAATGACGCAGCTTCCCTCAAGGCAGCCTCACTGCCCAACGGCGACCAAGCGCGAGTGCTACCAGTACCGGAGTAGATCGGCTCTGAACAACAAGCTATATTAAAAACATTGAAAACATTGATTTGTGACCTCAGTAGGTCACCCGTAGGCTCCCTATGTTGGTACCTAGAAACACGAGGAAGTTATGGACAAATAGTGTGTACTTTGTGAGTGTAATTAAGAAACAGACAATAGGCAATACAATAATCATGATTTAAGATTTAAAGTAGGCCAAAATATTAAGTGTTCAAAGTAGTTGTGGTTACGATAAAAATGATGCATGGTACGTGTTTGTAGTGTTTCCTAAACTCACCACTCTCATGTCCGCTAATAGCGGCACTGCCTGACTTGGTGCGGTGTCGGGAGCGAGCGAACACTCGAGATATGGAGCCCCACGCTGAGCCGCGACCACGGGCTCCCTTACTACCCGCGCCTGATCGTCCACGTACTCCACCTAGCAAGGCTGCCTCACACTCACCGGGACTTGAGAGCTGTTCCACAGACCTGATAGAATACAATTTATAGTTTGACTTGACTTGTTGAACAGTGCAACACACGTCTATGCAAATTATAACTACCTATCTGATTTTTAATTTACACTTATACGGATGGAATATTTTGAATTGAAAGTTCTGATTCACATAATAAAATAAGGAAACAAAGGCTATCTAGACAATCTATAATCTCACAAAGATAGAATTAAGATTTGACACTCAATATAACGGTGCCCATTTTACAGAGCGCCCGGCTTTCCGGCTCTAAAAATATTGCGAGATGAAAGATATAAAAGGTAGCCTGTGAGCAGTCGTGGAAAATGAAAAAGAATTAAGCCGGAAGAAAATGTAATTTCGAGCAACTATTGCTGAATCGTTGCCGGAATCGTGTAATACTCGATAAATTTTACTGTCGAAATTCGATAATATCGCTAGAAATGATAAAGTGCCCAGTAAATGTAAGAGAATACCAAAATGCTAGCTCTAGTTCTTGTCCTAGATAACGGCTGTAACATTTATCAAGTTATGGAGACATTCGTAACGTCACGCAAATCTCAAAATGAGTAAGTTGAGGTACAACATTTTGAAAGATATTTCGTTTGATGCTGGTTTCAGTGGCACGTAAATTGCCGCTATGGGTAATTTATGTTAAGTTATTAATTATTAGTTTGTACACTTTGCGGATCGATTCCTTATCAAATACTGTTGAATAAACACCAATGGACATTATTTCTTGCGAAACAGGTAAGATGGAAATGATACAAACCTAGATAGAGATCCAGCGTCGATGGAGCGTGTGAAGGGCGACGCGCTGTTGTGTGGCGACAAAGTCGGGCTGCAGTCACGTGGTGTGCTCACTACGACAACAAGTTTACTTACAGAAAACAATACACCCATACGAATGGCCAGCTCGACTGGAGCGATACCACGGCCTTAAAGAAAACCGACGTGTAACAATGCTTGCGTTATGTATTGTCGTGTGCGTGAGGTTATCGAAAGCCCAATTACCCGGGGGGGTCCCCAGTCTCCCCAATCCCCGAATTTCTCAACATCTTAAAATTCCCAATCCCCAAAAGGCTGGTAACACACTTGCAACGACTCTGGTGTTTCAGGTGTCTATGGGCGGAGCCGATTGCTTACCATCAGGTGATCCGTCTGCTCGTTTACCGACTTATCCCATTAAATATAACACCTCGAAAAGTACCGCTTTCGGTAAACCTAATAAATACTTTTCAAAAGAAAGGCCAAACAGGTTTGTTAAAAATACAAATTTCGAGAAACATGAGTTCTAATATCGACTGTTCCACTCATAACCAATGAGGCATAAATAAAACCCATCGACGATTTATAGAAACAAATTGAATAAAATACATCCATTACTGAATCGTATCAAAGGGAATGTCTACGTATTGAACCGCGTTTATTGTCGCCATTCTAATGTGATATGTACAATATACACAGTATGTATATGTAGTGTACGCGAAGCTTACAAACTACTTTATATTACTCAAGCTTTTATCCCCCGACGGGATAAAACGGGCCGATGCATCTATCGGAGGCTCGTGTAAGAAAAATGTGTTCGCCGTAAGTACCGAGACGTGAATCCAGTCTTTTTTACCAAATAAAAGTACCATTTTCGCAATCCTATAATTTGAAGGCGTCTGAAGAACTCCACTATCTCTTCCATTATTGTCAACCAAAATATGTAAGGTTTTATTTAGACATTAAAAGAAAGTATGAACAGAAATGGCACTGCAACAATGTTTTGTAGCTGTAGCCAAATGCCATTTAGCGCTTATCTACACGTAGAATAGACATAACATAACATCACGCCTTTTATCCCCGAAGGGGTAGGCAGAGGTGCACACAGAAGTAACACCCACTTTTCACTATTTATGTTATGAGTCCCATGTAATAGGGGGTGAGCCTATTGCCATATACCGGGTACATTTCCAGACTCCGTGCTACTACTGAGATTTTTTTTAAAAACAGAAATAAAATAAAAAACCCCGGGAATCGAATCCGAGACCCCTTGCCCGGCAGTCGCACTCGCGACCACTTGGCCAACGAGGCAGTCTCGTAACGTAGAATAGAAAACCAAATTATATGGAATTGACGTAAATTTTTACACTTGTCAGCGTGATCCTCATACATTTTGATATCTACTCTCACTGTAGGCAAGCGCAAAAGTGGCGTTTGGCTAACGGCACTGTATAGAAAGTATTCTGTCAGATAGAAAAGACGTTATAGTTTTACTAAAGAATTTCGAATAGCAGAATAATAGTGATATCAAAGAAGACCTTTGTTTTAAACTACTGACAAGGTGAAACATATCAAACTAAAGTCATGACATAAACGGTCTAACAAGTTTGTAAAATAACATGGTCCGGAAGGATATTTGTTACGACCGGCGACCGACATACATTTTCAATACGGTCTTTGACAGTTCACGCAGGAATAGCACAAAGGTATTGGACATGTTTGTATCCGTGGAAGTTGACTTATTATTTAGCCATTTTGATAATATTACGTTCGTTCCTCGGTTAGAATAAAAGAAATATTCAATTTGGTTAGTATTGTTAAACTGTTTGGGGTAATCATAGGTAATGGATTCGCCATAATCTACAAGAATGTTAGCGAAAAATGCAACATGAGATTCTATTCAGAAAATCACTTGTCATCAACCAATTCTTTTTCGATCTCTTTGGCTAGATTTTGGTGTTACATAGTTCTCGCACAATCAAACCAATAAAACTGTGTAACTGAAGAATTGTATAGTGAAACTGATTGGAAAAGAGTAACCTATGGAGTTTCTTGCTCGTTCTTCTCCATTGAAATCTACACCTTGGACTGAGCAAATAGCTTCACTTTTAAATTTCTATTGCTGACGTTCAAAAGTGCCTTCCTGATCTAATTGGAATAAATTGTTTTTGACTTTTGACTTTTGACCAATAACAGTTTTCTAAAACACAATCAATAAAAATACCCGATCGCTTATTCCATTAGCAGATTTATATACAAAAGAAAACCACTTCAATTGCTACAAAAGCATATTGAGTAAAAGCGAATTCCGATATTTGCGACACAAAACCCAATGAAATGAATTTGTACCGATTATATAAAATATGTACATGGTAAATTCAAATTGCATGAAGTTCTCAATTTCCGAACGATCGTTTTGCAATAGCGCAGTTTTCTAAAGTTTTATTGTTTGATGTTCGATGAACGTGGCGGGTAAAATACTATAATATTGACTGCTGCGTCCATCAATTTTAGTAGTTTAACTTTACACAATTTAGAATGCAGAATGCGTTGCAAATTGTTATTTAGCATATTGTGGAGTTCTGTCATTTGCATTTAACAATGTTTCAATTCCCAGCCATTTTGTTGACTTAATTTTGTGCTACGATCGTATTAACAAAAAACCGATGGCTAACAGTATTTTACTGCATGAAACGTTAAAATAGTTTCATTAATAGGACCTCTACAAGAAAATGGGTAGAAGCATTAATCGAAATTATAAAAACTTTATCGTCCTGTTGATAGGAATATAACTCAAAATATTTACAAATCTAATTAGATACTGTGCAATATGGCTTTATACTGTAGAAGTATACCGTTCTCCATATAGCGAGTGATATCATTATGCTTGTTTTCAACATGAGCGAGTTGCAATCCGCTTTATTTTCCAGTCGAATCATGTAAATCATATTTCACTTCATAACAACAATTCCATACGTCGCGTCGAAAAGGGATTCGTTTAACTTAAACTCATCAAAAATTAACAACGGAAATTCGACATACAGATATTTGTATCTATACACGAAATAAAGCGGATTTTGTACTTAATAAAAGACTTTTTGTTTTATTATCGTACCACGGCGCGGGTCGAAATTGTCGGCACAAAAGGAGAATATTATATGCTGCGATACATTCGCTAATCGGATTAAAATAAGTATTTTCATGTAGGTATATTATTTTTGGCCTTTATTCTGTGGAAATTGATGTATTATTATGTACCTATTATAACATTTTAATGTTATTTCAGTTATAATGTTGTACTTACGTTGATAGATATGGTGTGCGGATGAGACGAGTGATGCTGCGTCTGTGTCGTAAGCATCCAGTGTCGGCGGAGCGCCTTCAGCCGTAGAGTCTGATAGATTCCCACCACACACTGACGTGGCACCGCCATCACTGCTGCCTAATACCACAGATTAACCACTTTTAGTAAAATATATTACACACTTTAAGGCTTAAACTTAATGTGGTTGTGTGCTAAACGATAGATTAATGGAAAGTCAAACAAATTCCAGAACAGATTTTTATTTTTGAGATTGATATTAGTATATATTAAATTTAAAACCTCTAATGCCATTATATGTTAGTAAGTATTTAAGTATTGTTGTTTCTTTATCTTACCTCTAACACCGGAATCAGCACTGCAGCTGCCTCTGTCCCCAATCAGCCCCGAAGGTCCTCCCAACATCATCGGTGGTCCCATACCGAGTGATGCAACACTCTCGCCTTCTGACAGACACCCTGCGGCTTGCAACTGTCTCCTGGCCTATGTAAACAAATGGGTATACTGATGTTAAAAAATCCGTAAAACATCAAAAACAGCGAAAAAGAAAATTATAGATATAATATAAGTATTCAAAAAATGTTTGAACTACTTTTTTATGTAGAACAGTCTAACTATTAGCATGGATGGAGAACCATCAGTAGTTATACATCTGTGTAAAAATGCAGTACGGTTATAGTCAATGCGTAAAACTATTCAGATGGAAAAAACCGAAAATAAGCACTTTATATGACGACACCCGTAAAAATAATCCGGGTATCATATTTCACAGTTAACACGGAAACTTACATCGGACACATATGTTCAAAGCAAACATTACATCCCAAACACGATTATAGTTATACCTCCATCGCAACACCCTTTTAATGCTTCAATTAATTTCGATTGGGGCTTTAATTTGGACAGGATTTGTCCGCTTGAATGGGACATCCCGCTGCGAGCCCGCATCAACGTAATGGTATCGAATGTTCCGCGGTCGCAGGTTAATATCCGGATTATGCGTAACGGAAAATTGTATAATAACATCCGACTTATAGTACTAAGTCAGGGAAACAGTTGCGTTTAATTTTCCCTGCAATTTAAATCAGAGGGAGCAATTTGAAATGGTAATTAACACGAGTGATGGATGGTCTCGCTCCGAGCGCACATCACGCTACCTATTCATCATAGCAGTGAGCTGTCGATAAAAGTTTATTTATTATTGGTTGAAACACTTCATCACTGAAATTGTTCGTCAAAAACAATTTTGTTTAATATTGTTTATTCTGTTTCGAATGGTGGGGTTTCATTAAGTGAACTTCGTGAATTTGTATTGATAGTTTTACAGTGGAATTAAATACGCAATTGAGTGTAGTGAATACTATCAGTCAATCGAATTAATAGTATTTCGTCATTCGTCCGAAGTAACCGAAGACTGATAGTATTCACTAAACTATATCGGTTAATTCAGTTAGGTCCTACAATTTATACCATTATATTAATGACCTACCTCAAAGAGTTGTTCTCGAGCGTGTCTCAGCTGTGTGTCCCGAGCACTGAGTGCGGCCGCTAGTTGTAGAGAGCGCTCAGCTTCATCGCGAGCATGTCGCAGTAACGCAGCGCGCTCCCGCTCACGCTCAGCTCGCTCTGCTCCTAAAGCTGATGAAGCTCCACCCCGCGAACGCATCTATACAACCATATTTTGTCTTTCAAATATACACCACAGTGTGTAAAACAAATTAATTCACTGAAATATAATTCTTTGAACTCTATGCTTTCATAAAACTACTTTAAAAAGAAACCGATTTCAATCGATTCTTTTTTTAAGTCGATTAACTAATATACTGAAATTTTCTTCTATGTGAATATATATAATTATACATATACAGATACAGGTCAAACTAAGATCCTTCTTTCTTTTTTGAAGTCCGTTAAAAATAAGCCTCTATTACTGAACTAAACGTATAGCATATCTAAGATGATACAAATAAATTATACAAAATTGTAAGTAATTCTCTCTTAAGAACTGTTGGGAAAGTACATGAAGAACATAGTTGGACCTGATGCATTCCTTAAGACTTTATTAAAGCCAAGAAGTTCATGAATAATTATTCAAGTTAGTACTTAATAAAAAGAGCAAGGCTAGCAGACTCATCGCAGCTGAGAACAATGTAGGATAATAACTTGAGATATGCGAGCATTCACGGAGAAGTTTCTGTATGTGTAAAATTCTATAAGCTTGGAAACAAGTAGGGAAGTTCTGTATGACCTAGATCGTATCCGAGCGTAACGAGCCTTGCAAACGTGGCTAGATCAAAAGATATGGCATAATAAATTAAGTGACCACAATGTTGGCTACACACAGTAATGACTACGTTAATGATACTAAAATATTTTGTAACAAAAGGCCGACCCCATTAACTTTTTTCATTTTGGGACCCTGCGCAAGTAACAAATTCTTTTACGTGACAACGCATTTCCCTCGCTCCATCTAACAACATTACTGTATTACTTATTATACGAATATTCGCGTTTCATAATACACAAATTGCTTTTCACCTGTTCATAGTTTCTTATGAAGTCTCGGAGCTCTTTCTCTTTGTCTTCGAGAGTGGCGTAGAGTTGTTTCATTTGGTTTAGTAAATCAAATTTCTCAGCTTTCAACCTCTTTTTGTCTGCTTTCAAAGCTGAAACAAAATGTATAAACTTTATACAAAGTCCATTATGAAGTAAATTTAGATTTACGAAACATAAGGTATAAGATTATAAATTAGGTATTTAGGTAGGTAAGTGAGATGAAACAATTTCATTTTGAATTGAACAAGGGTACGGATTTCATGTTTGCGGCCTTGTAAGCGACAAGCTTGTATGTAGAGTAGCTGTACAAGCAATGCATGTCTCAATCCCGAGTGATTCAGAACTCTTTGAGCAAGCTGCTCGCTTTGGGGGCCTACGTCCTTTGTCGCTTCGCTCTCTATGCAGATCCCCTCAACTCGGACATTTGTACGTTTCCAACGTTTGATAGGAAAATAAAACACATTCCAGATTGATCTACATTTTACCGTTTTTGCAAAGCGTCCAGAGACCTGTCGATCGTTTTGGGAATCCCATTACTTTGAAAGTTTGAAAATTGGAATTTGGTTCCGGGTGCAGATTTGGTAAATTTTCATGAATTTTTTACTCGTCATCGGTAGATAGACTTTTGAAATTTCTAAACTTTGATGTTTATTGGCGAGTAACATTGCAATCATTACAGACACTGATTACTCATTTATAAGGCCTGCCCCTACCATTACTTTTAATGCATTTACTAATCAATATATTTGTTTCAATAATACTATTTCAATTATTTAGGTTAAATACGATTAAACCTAAACACGAACGACATGTACTTTGTATGAGAAGATCATTACTCTCTACTGGGGATAGTAATGGAGTTGTACATTGCTACTTAGTTTATGGATTGATGTGGTTTATGCGTAGGAAGGCAACAGGCCTTGATTGTGGTTTCATCGATCACGTGGAACAGTTGGATACATAAGGCAAACATATTAGATGTACCTTTGTTGGTACCTACCACAACTCAAACAGGGAGCCTTGTTGTTCTCTTTGTTCTTGTGTTTGGGTCTACCTATGTATTTAATGCAGAAAATAAAACCTTACGCAACATACTTTTTTGTTCAAAATATTAGTAATATTATATTAGTTACGCGCTTTAGCGAACTGAGTCGTGACCGTCATGAATGTCAAATAAATGACGAATACAACACGAAATGTCGACGTACTTAAAAATACTTAGTTTCACGGAACATGATTTGACAGAAATAAAAAGAAAAGTTCAGCACATGTGAGAATTAAACAAGTTTTGTGACGAGACCCACGCCACATCCGTAGTCGGTATACTGCTTATTTGCTAGATTCAGTCACTGAACGTGACTTCATTATTTCGTTCTTGTCTTCGACAACCTCGAATAAAGACGAAATAGGTTCCAGTGAGGTAAACGGTAGTCTAACTTGGCATAACATTTCCAATTATAATTGAACAATTTAGTTCAATCTTAGTCACGAAATTACATTAGTCTAATTGGCTACACTGATTCGATGTAGTTTTAAAAATGAGATCTAACTACTTGATATTTTCTACTACTATTTTCTCCAAAGCAAACCAAAATGGAACTCTAATCACAAAAACTATTACTAACAATTGGACGTCCGGTAACCTCACTCACACGACCAAATACAACGCAAGCGTTGTTTCACGTCGGTTTTCTGAGAGGCCGTGGTATTCGGTCTAGCCGACCCATTCGTGCCAAAGCATGGCTCTCCCACAGATTCATAAATAGGAAGCATATTTAAAAAGTAAATGTATTAAAGCCACCTGCAGCAATGCAGAAAAGTTGTTTAACTTGAAAATATCAGAATTTAAAAACTTTAATACTCAGTATAGAACCGTAACTTCCAAGGGCTAAAGATGATTGGACTGGCGACCTAGTTATCCGTTTTATGGCGTCCATGAAATTAGGCCAATGGATATTGAATACTGTGGCGTATGAAATAAAATGAACAATATCCATAACTGCTTAACAACTTAGATAATTCAGACAAATTGTTGATTATGACGATTAAAACTTTTAAATGACTCATTTAATGCTTCTTTACATTAGGATAGTTTTAATGCAAATATGAATCTTCTTTGCAAGCAAAACCTAATAAAGGCTGACTTTAAACACAGTCACGGTACAAAATTAGACAGTTTTATTCAACGACGTGATTAATGATAGCAGAAGCTCATTATGCTTAATTTCTCTGATCTGTGGCGAGTCTAAGCAAGTATTTATCATTTTAACGTCTTATAGTTCTTTTGAGTCATGTATCAGTTTCATGGACAAATTTTACCGGGTCACTAGTACCAACACGAGTACCAATTATTACTAATCCCATGATCGGCCTTCTATAAGGACAGTGGCACATGATTGCTACAGTTTTATTAACCGTACAATCGTTATTTGACACAAAAAATTGGTAGCATTTTTAATGCCCAAACTTCGGCGAGAATAATAATATAACTTTAAGGTCGTTGAACAAACACAATTATTCAACTATTTATGTTAGCATGTTTAATGTATACAATCTGCCAAAACATGCCAGGGGCGCGTTTCTGACAACTTTCGTCAGTGTAATGACATTAGTGGAAATGTCAGTCGAAGTTAGAGAAGCACACCCTTACAGGGACGTGACCCGCTTACTGATTTGGGTCTGTAAGGCAGTGTACCTTGCGAGATATTATGAGCATAGTTTATCAAAATGTCGGCTTCCTCACGCTTCTCCCGTATCGGGCCGCACTCAACAAATTGCCCACTTTTGCGGGATCGAATCGGATTATTGAGATAAAGTCAGTGTAGGTGGAAGTTCGCTATATATTCGGATAGAAAATGCCTATTTAAAGTAGTTTAAAAATTCAAGTAACTTGAAATATTGTCATTTGAACACAGCTATAAAAGAAAACAGAGTTACCCTAAGTAAGTTAGGTAATTGTCAGACATGAAAGTTTTAACACCAAAAATTTTCTACAAAAATCAACAATAAAAATTGAATACAATTTATCTTCGTTATAACTTCACACTTTTAATATTCGTAATGACTTTTTAATGTATTCGAATGTCGCCATAACAGTAAATTCGATATGTAACTTCGCTTTAGTACTGGTATTAATGTGTTTTACAAACTAATACCATAAAAATATAATGGCTAGTGTAATGTCACCATTAATTTCTTTAGGAAAGTAATACCCGACATAAACGCCGACCATTACGTTTTTGGGTAAGATCTAGTTTGATATATAGTATGTTTAGAACTGTTTTCTCTAGGATAATGGGGATATAGCTGGACATAACACATGTGTCGCCGTAACTTGTAGGTACATTATTTCTAAAGATAAATAAGTTTTGCGAAAACTAGTGTTTCCCTATTAACATGATCATGTTGGGTTTCTATGGAAAATAATGTAATTCGGTACCTATTGTGTATTTGCTTAAATGGTGACAAAAATCACGAAGAATTTAATCAAAGATATGATTGAAAACGAATTAATATTAATGGGATTTATAGCGGTCGTCTAAAAATAAACCTAATTCACAACATAATAATTACATTTTTTTATGGGGTAAACGAGGAGACGATTCACCTGATGGTAAGCAATCGGCGTCGCCCATGGACACCCGGAACACTAGGGGCGTTACAATTTGAGGGTACTTAGGTATTGGGGAGATAGGGAAGACGGTGGGATAGGTAAATGGTGCACACGTTCATACACTATATGACCATAATATTTTAAGAATTCATGTTTTCATCTAGAAGCGTGTTCAGGAAGTTATGTAAGTGAGCCAGGATCGTCGTACTAACAGGCGTTAGCTTCTGCCCCCGTGGGGATATACGTGGCATAATGCAGATTACAAATATTTCAGCGAAATGTATATTAGCTTCATCTTTATTACAAATATTATTATTCAATTACAATTTATAATGTATTGAAAATAGGATTTTATAGTAGAAATGACGATAAATTGATTAGAAATTATTTGCAATCGTCTACGTTAAATGATATTCTATCGTTTAGTAGTTCTAAAGAAATTGTATCCCACACACTCATCTAAGAGATTGTCGTAGCTCTGTCGGGTTATTTTAAATTAAAACAGAAGACTGCACATTGAGTACGTTTAATTACAATTCAGAATGAAGACCGGCGCGCACCGACACAAAGAAATGCCCGAAAACTTTGGCGTGAGTTAGCGGAGTGTGTGAGGATGAAGAAGCGCGGCGCTCGCGCGGCCGTGGGTTTTTATACCCCCATCCCGCGCGTCACCGCCTCTATGGTCGATGGCCATACTAATGCGCCGACAAGATAATAAGTAAGTTTATATCTAATTATAGTATCTTACTAGCTTCTACCAGCGGTTTTGCCTGCGTTCCAATGGGATAAAAAGATGGCTATGCGTTATTTCATACCATAATCTATATTCCAAATTTCACCTCGATCCCTTCAGCCGTTTTGACGTGAAGAAGCAACAAACGAAGATACAAACTTTCGCATTTATATTAGCTGGTCAAGATCAAAGTAGTCACCGCTCTCCACTTACACCATTATACACCTTATTTGCGATGTTTAGAGACTACTTTTGTGTGAACAATTGTTGTGGATTTTTCATAATCGGACATTTACGAGTTAGTAGGATTAGTATGAAAATAGGATACTGCTGAACTATGGTATGTCTGCTCTCTCTAAAATGGTTTTGCCACAACGGAACGTGCGGGTTTGCAGTTTAAAAGGTTCAGATTTATAAGAGTGCTGCTGTTTGGTCTTTGTTACATATTATTATATTATTATGAGGTCTCTTAGTCAGTTTTCACAACATACACCGGAATTATAGGGGTAGTCGTAAATGGAAATAGGTGGGAATATGGCGATATAAATGTTACCGTAAAAATCTGTGAAGTAAAGCAGTAATCACTTACAGTTAACAGCTTCTCTAGCCAGCAGCAGTTCTTTCTCCAGCTGTTGAGGGTCTAGTTGAGGTGCATCCTGTGTGTCGGACTTGGCTCGTTCCAGCAGTGTGCTTCCAGCCTCTCCTCGCTCAGCTGCCGCTACCAGTAGACGACGGACACGTGTGAGCTCGGCCTGAACAAATATAATAAAAAAATATATTATTTACTTAAAATAAATAATAATTCAGTTGGAAAGAGAACTGACTTAACTTTTAGCTCATGACATAGTGAATCTAATTCAGTTGTTTCAGATTAACTAAATAAACATGTGATGTAGCATGTCTTACAAGAATATAGTAATAATTTTCAAATTCAGCACTCCATGCGGCAAGTTTAAAAGTAGGCACTCGGACTGGGTCCTGAATCAATATCATGAAATAGTTACGTATGAACCTAATGGAGTTCCCAAAGGGCTTTCGAGACAGTAATAAACCCCGTATCTTACATAACATCAACCTAAGTCCGGCCGAGTGGAAAAAGGTTAAGTAAAAAATTGATCCTTGAACGCTGCGGGAATCACTAATGACAGTTTATCGGAAAATTACACCTTTATGACCATCTATTCCACTATTTTTGTAATTTACTTTTATGGGAACATCGCCCATTGAGAGCCTGGGAACTATTAAAGTGTAAATAAAAAATAACGCAGAAGTAGCAAAACTTTGTTTTTCTCCAACCTAATGTTGGAGTTGGAGACGAAATTGAGCCTACTTTCTTGTATTTTAGAGGGTTTTCAGGTTTACAAACCACGCCTAATGGTGCGGATATGTGTAAAAATGGTTATTGCTCCTACTTAAGCCACGTAACAAGGAGAAAAGGAAGAATTTCCCAACAAATAAAAAAATACACAGACTTCATAAAAATGGGAACCAATTAAGGTTAAACAGAAAGTAATCATGAACACAAAATAAATTCTAGAGATAAACCAAATTGAACGGCAAATACTAAGCCGGTACCCCAAAATGGTTCTTATAAGCCTATTATTACTGTACCTGTAATCTTTCATTTTCCATCCGGAGTCTCCTGGCTACCTGTGCGGCGGTGAGCATCCCAGGGGACGCTGGGACTTCCTCCTGCCGCGACCGATCCGAACGACCGCCGGGGGAGGCCGCGTCTGTACCATCAATAACACCATTTGAATAAACGATACATCTGCGTTCACTAGAATCACCTAATTCATTCATCAAGAAAAAAATGTCCTCATGCGATTAATGACTATAGTTTTTATCCTGTAGTAGACTGAATTTACGACCAAACATTTGGTTTTTACCGTCACACAACGTCAAAAGTAATTACCAAAATGACATCCCTATTCAAAATGATTTCGTGTCTTTTATGAGAAATATATTGCTTCACACGGATTTACGGCTGAACGCGAGTTAATTAACGCCTGATTGTGTGTAGTGTGTATACTGAATACTGACTTATTAATTTACGACGAAACTTTTTATTATATACAACAAATACCTGCATGGATATACAACAAAAATCTTTCATGCTTAACCAATCACTTTTATTATTTTGCGTGAACTCGTCTTATTAATTCGATCCTCGTTTACCCGGTGTCATTGCCATGTTTGTAGGTGTACTTTCACAAAGTTGAATCCTTGTTTAGCGTTCAAGGGCTCACGTTGTAACCCTCATTATTAGCTGTCGTACTATAATATGAAAAGTTTTGTAAAGTACGGTGCCACCGCACTCATATAAATGGAATTGGTTATGGCGACGTAAACGTTGTAATAACGCGAAAGTTCCCCGAGTCACGAAAGCCGCGACTCTGGCCGGTCCAGACAAATCGATTGCTCGCATGTAACACGCGTCACGGCACGACGGCAGGTGTGCGCGACGCCTGCTTTATTGTGCCATCGCTCTCAAAGTGACGTATTGACTTCGGGAAAATAACGCTTTCCCGACGCCAAGTAATTATTCTCTACCAGACAACCTCTAATTCCAGGGAACAAATGGAGTGAGAACGCGCTCGAGATCTACTGTCTCACATTAATAAGCGTACGAGTCCCGCACTCGGATGCGAGAGGAAAAAGAAATAATAAGCTCTAAGATTAGTAGTAAATGGAGCAGTGGCAAATTGGTCGCCGAGCGCCGGCTCTATTGTGAACAAATACAGACAGATTGCAAATAAATTATGCTTGGACGCACATTGTCCTATGATCCTATTATCCTGCGTGCTGTGATAAGTCAATAGGGTGAAGCATTGCACAATTGTCTCAGGGAACAATTACTACGGATGAATTCACAAGTTGTACTAGATGCCGTCTGAGTAATAGAAGCAAGTGGCTGGGTACATGGATGTTGTAACTTGTAACTGTAGCAGCATTATTAAAGAAAATTCAAGTAGAAAGACTCAAATAGTTACTTAAAAAACAGCTTACTAATTAAAGCACTGAGAAAGGAATTAAATGACAAATTGCAACATCAGGCGGAAAGTTTCTTTCTGGCGGAGTTGGCTAGCTGTGCAGTGTGCAGTTAGTCGGCAAATGAGCTTATTCCCCAAGGCTGCGCGCTCATTAGCAGCGAGGATATTCTGCAGAGAACGGCTCGCACAATATATGGATGTTTTACCAACACATAGTTCGTGTCACCTCCTTAGTTGCGATGAGGAAAATATTAATTTAGTTGCACTTGCGCTTACCAGCTTTCAACAAATTGACTCAAACGAAAATTCATGGAAAAGCTTTTAGAGACTTGAAGCACAAACGTAACGTAGTATACGGCTGTTGTTTTGTATTTATTAAAGCTGAGCGCAGCGTCCTATACATTTTGTTTGTGACTTTTTAAGAGAATTTCCAGTTTAATTCGACGGTTTAAATACAGTCGCAAATGTCCATTACTAAATTCAAGTGTCACTTGTTTATTCAACGAATATGTAACATTTACCTAACTGCGATGGCGGAGTGTAACGTGTTTTGCGTTCGTCTATTATAAAGTGAAGTGTCTATAATTGTATTCAGCGTGTGTTGCCACAGACAGAGTTCAACGACGCTCGTAATATTCTCAGCTTGTAGCCGCACCTATGAAGAATTTCAAACTTCCTCTAACTAACTTCATCAACAAAACAAACATGCCGTCTCGACTAGTTACGAACTATTATCTCTTGGATTACAGACTCTTAAGACAAACTCTAGCCGCCAAGTTTGCCTTATCCTCAGTCCGCCATGTTTTATTTCATAAATAATTGGGACGAATGTAGATAGATAAAAGTAAATTCGTTGGTGCTTTATTTATATTCGGAAGAGCGAACTAACCGGGCTTACAATGTTTGGATAATGAGTGACAATTTGACAAACATAACTTCGGAAATGTTTAACAATAAACTGGTGATGAAATGATGGATAAAGTGTCCTAGATTTCAAAAATTCAGTTCAAATGTAATGTAAAGAAGATTAAAATGTACGCACAAAATGAAATAAATACTTATTGTATCTTACCTCCTTCAAGTGTCGCAGTAATATCAGCTCTTGGTTCGGGACCGTCGCTACTCCTGCCTGGTGACGTGGCATCAGGGAGTGGAACCTCTTCCTCTGAACTGTCGGCGGGATCCAGAATATTCCTCTCGCTGGTATGACTGTTGCCTCCATTGCCTATTTCAGCGTAAGTTCCACTGTCGCTGCCGTTTTGTGTTGACCATTTCACCGGGGACTCTAGCTTGCCATTTGCCTGGTTTTCTTTATTGTCATCGTCTAAGTACAAAAATAATATGAAATTAACTATCTGATGATTGAAATTACAGAGCTTTTGATTTTCATTTGGTAGAAATGTGTTTTAATACAAAGTAACAATACTTTAATGGGTCTGATATACTTAAGGCAAATAAAAATGAAATGAAATGTAAGGGAAGGGATTTACTCAATAAACTTCACAGATTTTGTGAGCCTTTCGTGTTTGACACACCATCCGGGTAATTTAGATATCTTTTTTGCTGATTTAATGTGATTGAAGCAAAAAACATTATGGAGAATTCTTTTGTAAGCGTAATAAGAGATTCAATATTACTAGTACAAGTGTCACGTCTCAAAATTAAACTCTTCCTGGCCTCGGATATATATTTGATGTAAACAAGAACAGAAAAGGAAAATCCAGTAGATTTGTCTTCCACATGCTTCATCACAATCTTTATGTATATAAAGATGCTACTCGTATAGGAAAAGATTTATTGTTCTCAGTATTTATGAAACCATCTAGTTTTCATTAGTCTGCATTCTTTTCATATTGAGCGCTAACCCTTCGTACAGTTGACAAGGATCGTAGGGTTGTGAGTTGGGTGAGCACATGTTGATTAAGTCCGAAGCTGGGTATAGTCTTACTATAAATAATGGTACCACATCTTACCTATGAAGGGATTGTCCTTCCCGTTTCTTATAGACAGTCTAGTGGTCCTATTGATGGTGCCCTCCTTATCGACGCTGAGTCCACCATTGCGTTTGTCCAGGGTGCCGATGAGCAAGCGTCGCTCGGGCGGCACGGGCCGGTCTAGCTCGGGCCGCTCGAGCGCTGAGCTGGCTGGCGTGATCAGCGGGTCAGCCGGCTCCGGCTCGGCGTCCGCGTCAACCCGGGCGCCCACCGATACTTGCTCGTCGACCATTTTGCGGAGTTTCGCCTGTTTATAAACAATTCGGTAACTACTCTTATTTTAGACGCTTTAGAAGTGACCTTACAAATATTTCATTCAGAAATAGGTATTTATAGGAAAATTGTATTTTATGATGATATTCTAATAACTACTGTCCTTTGCGTTGTATGTGGGCATATAAAAATTAAATAAATAAATGCTAATAAAAAAAAATAGTGTACTATACAACAAAAACACTGCTAAAGGTTGTCAACTTTCCCACCATCTAAGTATTATCTAAGTACTAGTACTGTGCGTGTGTGGTGAGAAAGATACCTAATCTATTTGTGAACGTGTAAGGTAGTACTTGAGTATTTCAGCTTGAGCACTGCAGAACAATCTACGTGACTATCAACTGTGTGGCTAATTTGTTAAATTAATTAATTGATGTGTGCTTCAATCATCCGCCATTTACATTCTCACCACAAACGATGTGTCGGTGTGTCATTATGCAGGTGTGCTGGCTTTCAACCTCAATAATGAATGGGTTATAAATTCCCAGTAATCCAGTTTATTTATCAACACAGTTTGAGAACAACAGCGATATATTTTGGCCATCCGACGACGCTATATCTGTAGCTATTAATCTGAGCAGACCCCTCTTGCTTAGTTAATTCACCTGCTACCGTTTGATGTAATGGTCGTTTAAGTCTGCTCGTCGTACCGTGCGGCCGTGGGGGTGCGATCATACCAACGTGCCGAACCCATTAGTGATAATACGTATATTTTATGACAATAGAGTTTTGATAACTAGAATACTAATATAACTAAGTGAAACTACCAGCAAACTATTGTAAATATTTGGTTAGGTAACGTCACTTCTATTCGTAAAATCACGATCACAGTCATTTGTAACCATAAACTTTTATTATCCAGCATGCACTATGTTTACCTACTTAGTTTCATTCAATTTACTACACAAATAGCTCGCGTGAGCAGACACGTCGCACGTCGGGTTATTGTGCACGCTAGCCACATGTCATGTAGCAGGATGTTGTCAAGAGTTTCCCGTTAAACGGTCTAACAATGGGTTGTCGAAGTGTGGCGTGCGCTAATCGTGCATGCGGTCGTCCTCACCTGGGCGTCGCCTAGTATGCGGCGCACTAGCGCCATCAGGCCGCCGTGGCAGGCGCTGTCATGCTACCCTCCCCCTCCGAGCTGCCTCATTGTCTCCGCGTGACACCTGCCACACGCTCGTTACACTTCCTATTCACCACTAAACTTTCAATACAAATTGAAACTATTCCACTTTGCCGAGCGCCCCCTTTGTCTCAGCACTCCACTGACAGTCCGGAATGAGGACGTCGCGTCCCAGGAATTATCTGAAACAAACATATTTCATTGTTAACTTCATGATAGAGCAGCCGCACTTGTTACACTTTGAATTAACTTGCTCGTGTTCATAAACGTTTTGTTGTTAGTGTTTATAGAGTGTTGCAAACGTATCATCCACATAAGTTGTTACCTACACATAAAATATTATTAACAGTAAAAACAAAATTCAATGTAATTTTAAACAATTTACGTCCTTTAATAATTCTATCAGCATTTTTCTACAGTCTGAGTTGAAGTTTGTATAAAAGGAAAAACATTTCCTGCTGCTGAAATCTTTTGAATCATCATGCGAACTAATTACAACGTCCACCAAGAAAAATACTAAAAGGGCTCTTAATTGCCTGCTAAGTACGAACCCTACTAAAGTTCCGTCAAAATACTTGTGAAACTCATTATTCAGGTCGACGCCGGCGTCTCCTGTGGTACTAACGGCCCTCGTCTTTGACGTCAGTTTCTGATTCTTTTTGTCAATGGCTTCCCACACCACCGCTGCAGGCACAAAAAGGAAAGGATTGCTGTTCACTGAAATATAGTCGACAGAGCGAAAATCGTTGGTACCACAATAAAAAGCTGTTGTTTATTGAACACCGAACCAGCTGTTCCCGTTGTTACAGGCAACTGACGCAATTACACAAACGTTGATATACCAATGGAAACATGAAACATTGTTTTTTTTTCATGGAAGTAATTGAGCCTGCTACGCAAATTTGAAAACTGTTTTATTTTTTTCATTTAGCAGCTTTAAGCTGATGAATATAGTCCGAGCAAACGCTTTAAGGCGGTAATTTGCGAAGTGCGGCTCGTTGAGCCCGCCCGCTTCAGTTATTGGCCACAAAATTGATTAAAATTCCAGCTGCGTAAGGGAGTCTCATCTACTTTTTTATTAGATTGCGCTCACTGAAGACTGTTTTAGTAACTTTCTATTCGTGTTTGACCATTTGATTTCGCCGAGTAATCAGATCGTGCTGCTGTACCTAAGTAGAGGATTCATGGGGTGAGATTGAACCGCTCTGTGATGGAAATAAACATCGTAAAGTACCGCCCGCCGCATGTATTTTTTTATGTTTTAATTTAGTACGAATAAAAGCGTACCTGAGTGCTTTCTTTAATGAACATTTTAGATTTACTGGGAGCTGTAACTACGTACAGACTTTCGTTTATTATTTACTTTGAGGCAGGTAAAACATTGTTTTGATTAAACACTAGGTAAATTTTGTTTTAAAATAAACGTTAATTGTTTAGGTTAAACGAGACAATTTATATTTTCCATAGATGAAAAAGAATACATATTGCATCTAAATAACTTCTAAATAACTTTCTGATGTAATTTTGTTTCGTGGATATCTTATAATTAGGTCTGGCACATTTAAATATGTCAACATTACCCATATCCAATGCAGTATTTAAAATAAATACAATATCAATCTGAAACAACACATCATAAATTAACCCACAGGCTATCGTTTAAACGATTCGATGTTTTTCTAATTTAAATCAATATTAACCTGGCATTTAATTTAGATTTAGCATCCCCCATTCTCACAGGGGTCGTCACGTCACGAGTGCAGTATTCATCAAAGTAATTGCGCTGTTTCATTAAAAGTCCCGGCACATCCTTCAAGATTTGCATAAAAAGGTCTCCAGGCTGCTCTAGAAGCCTCCCCCGACTTAACATTAAACCAATTTTTAAATGTCACTTCTAAAAAATGTCACGTTTGAAGAGAACTGTTCGTAAACGGTGAGTTGAAAGGAGAATTTCTATTGACCTTTTGCGAATAAATTACATGTCTGTTGTTGGTGGCAATTGTGTGTGGGAGTTTAATAACTTTACAAAGTAAATTGGAATATTTATTGGAACATTTTAATTACTTTTGGGTAAGATTTTAGACTGTAATGAGAGAGTACTTCGGGAAGTTAATGTTAATTAAGTACTGGCGTTGCTTTAAGATTTAGTTTCACTAAATTGTTAGCTTTATTTTAGTTAATTTGAAGGTTTTGTAGTTTATGTTGACGTGGTGTGGGGTAAAGGGTGGTTCTTGCATCGACCCTTGTTTTTGCATCACTCAAAGGTCTGGCTGGAATGCTCAAGGCATTAAACATACCTTGTTCACAAAGAAGAGAGGTTCTGAGTTTAAAAGGGTAGAGAGCTACCAAAAACCAATTTACATCACAATAATATTAAGAAAAGTTTTACAGTAAACGCACACAACATTCCAATTAGTTTTACATTTACACCAAGGACAAAATAGCCACGTAACACAACTGCCTACATAAGACAGTTCTCTAAACCAAAACAGATGTATGTTTAATTTGATAAACAACACACTCGACGAAAACAATTCACGAGAGGATGCGGGCTTTGGCACAAAGAACTGGGAGATACAAAAGTTCTCCATAATATAATACATATGCGTGTATGTTTATATGTATGTGTTCCTACGAAACCACGTAATTCTATGTACAGAACTTTGTTCCGCGGTTCGCTCTTCATTTGTTAATGTTTCCCGAATATGTTAATTAAACTGATTTTCCATGGGATCTTTGTTTGAATGGAAAGCTATGTGATTTGTTTGTAAGTAACGCATAGGCTTTTCTTTCATTTTATTACGTTATTGCTGTTACTCGTATGAAATTTGACTGAAACAGTTAGATCCAATTAAGTGTATGAATCGATTTCTTCATATTTTTTTTTTCATGATTTTATTTGAACATTGTGTTACGTAACGTTATTAGAAAAAGCAAATGAACTTAAACAACTACACTGCTTAATAGTTTGTCTTCTATCAGCCAGTAGGCTGCGCGACATCGTCGCGACCGCGCACGCTGTTCATGAGGAAGAGCCCCTCTGTGACTCGAAACTAGTCCCTAGAGCTTTTCTCACTATATTTACGTGATGTACTCGCGATTTTTAGTTAATTTAGTATGTATCACGATAGTTATTATAAAATCATAGTTTGTCTTCTGTTAAAAACCGCAAAAACCAATTACAACATTACCCAAAAAATATGCACTACAATATTAATTCATTCCCCCGCTTAAATTGCTACATCATGTGGTACATATAGTAGTACCTAGATTGTAAAGAGTAATACAAAATTGTTTTCCAAGCTCGGAGCTCAAGCCACGAAACCGGCGTATTCCGAACCGCTCGGGTCGGGCGCATATTCTGCCTAACCGTTATTCAACCTAAACTCCACAGCCAAGCTATAATTCAACAGAGTGGAGCACTGAGCCTCGTTATTACAACCTTTGAATACTTCATATTTTAATTAAAACGGAGTCAGAGAGGTTTTGTTTCTATACTCATACGCAAACAACTTTTTTTTGAGATTACTGATACGTGATTACTTTGGAACGTTGTGTTTTCGGTGTATTGTTTTGAAAACATTGATTTTAGGTTAATTGAGTATGTGCGTTATACCTAAAGGTTTTTGAAATTAGGACATAAAAATATTGATAACTTACATGCAAAGTAGATGCGTGCATTTTTTCCCGCCGTTGTCCATAAACAAAACCATAGCCAATTTTGTTTCCTTTTACTCGGTACAGTTTTTACTAAAGAGGTTTCGTTTAATCTACATTTATTTAATCAAATCAAATTCATATATCATTCTTAAATATCATTAAACACAATGATTACGAATTTAATAAGCCTGTAGGCAAATAAATTGAATTAATGAAAATTGTCTACTTTTATCATAAAAGCAGGCAACTTGAGCACAGGTGACGGGAATCATCCAAAATGGCGGGGATCGCAGTGAGACTATATTTACGGCGAAACTTATACGAAGAGCCTCCAACTGTTCCATTATAATAGACCCATAAATAGTTAAAGTTTATATCAGAACACTAATCCCGATTTGTAGCATCATTGTATCTAATACATTTAACTAAAATGTTATTATTTTTGTTATTTAACTTTAGCATACAGAAGAATATAATTGAAATCTCTTTGGTAACTTGTAGAAGTTACTGGCCGTTTGTGCCAAAAAAAACAAGGAAACCATTTGTAATAAAAATTATTGTATTTATTTTTATTTATTTAATGTAATATGATATTTTTTGTTGTATTGCCAGGTTTATAAATTATTTTTGATTCTTAATATTTTTTAATGGACAAAAAGTTATCCTAAATTAAGTAAAAACGCGGGTTACTCACGTGAATATACTGAGAAAAGCTCTACTAGTTAGTATATTCACGTGAGTAACCCGCGTTTTTACTTAATTTAGTATGTCTCACGATAGTTATTATAAAAACAAAAGTTATCCTGTTTAGAATTTCAATAATTAAAATTAATGATAAACGTCAAGAAATTTTCCAGTAGGCAAATACATGGCAAATACTGATAATTTAATAGACCACCTTTTTGGTCACAAGGAGTACTGCATACTGTCAGTTCGTGACTAAAAGAAAAATAGAGAAACCATTTGTAAAAAAAAAACAATCACTTTCTTTTTTAGTATGTATTGTCATTTACGTTATATTTCTGACATTAACCAGCCAGGTTATGTTGTGCAAAAAGTGTGCAAATAATTTTGTTTGCATAATTAATTCAAGAAAATACTTTTATTTAACACTAGCTGACCCGGTGATCTTCGTACCGCCCTAGCGTAGCTTTGATGCAGTATTTTATTTTGTATAGTTCACATATCTTAGGTATGAGTACCTATTCAATTTAAACTGGAATCTTTAATATCCCCCAATATAAAAATGAATCCCTATTTCCCTGGTCTCGCCATACCTGAGAAGGACTTTACTAATTTCATTAAAAAACAAAATATATATTTTCATGTACGTCTGGTTGGTGGCATTGTTAAAAACGAAAATCAAACTGAAAATAAAAAGCTCTTATACACTGTCTGTATAACTATGTACCTATACCAAATTGTAATATTACGTAGTCACCAAAAGTTACCATAAATCGATATGAAGTTGTCAACTTACCGTAATTAACAAACACTTATTAACAAACAAAAAACTTGTAAA